GAAGAGAAGAGAGAGAAGACAAGAGAAAAAAAGAGAAAGATATAAAAAAGAGCAGATCAGGGAAAACAGAGAAGCCCAGATAAAAAAAAAAAGTAAGAGCGAGAGAAAAGACCAGAAAGAAAAAAAATAAGAGAGAAAGACAGACAAACACAGAAAGACAAAGAGAGAACGAGCCTGAGATGGAGATTTTGAAACATGAACACATAAGTATCCCTAAACCTCTCCTTTATATGCAGAAAGGTCAGACGTGAATCAGAGGGAGAATTACTCACGTCAACAAAAAAGGAGAAAATAGAGAAATAAAGTGATGCAAGATGGGAGAGAGGGAAGGAGAGGGAGATTGGGGGAGGGGGGAACGAAGGGGGAAGATATATACATACATACACACACACACACACACACACACACACACACACATATATATATATATATATATATATATATATATATATATATATATATATGGATGGATGCATGGATGGAGGGAGGGAGGGAGAGAGAGAAAAAAAAAAAATAGTGGAGGGATAGAAAACAGGAGATAAATTTGTTTTTAAAAAGGATATGAAGAGAAAAGAATGACAGGAAAAAAACGAATACGCTCGAAAAGGGAGAAGAAAAAAATACACGAAAAGGCAGAATAGAAACAACAGAAAAAGAACAAAACACAGAAAAAAATAAAAAGGAATAGAGAGAGAGAGAGAGAGAGAGAGAGAGAGAGAGAGAGAGAGAGAGAGAGAGAGAGAGAGAGAGAGAGAGAGAGAGAGAGAGAGAAAGACAGAGAGAGAGAGGGAGACTGATAGATAGACAAATAGATAGACAGACAAATAGAGATAGAGAGAGAGAGAACCCGGAAAGCACAAGAAGGCCACAGAATCCTTCCCGGTCGCGCGCGCGTGAGTGAGCGGGAACTGACGGGCGACTGTTGTGCCGAGAGCGTCCCCGGGAACAGTAAGTGGTTCGGCCATATCGGAAATATTGTATGTGGATAGACTTGAAGTACGAATTCAAATATGCATGCACATATTTACAAACATACACACACGCACACGTACGCACACAACACACGCATACTCTCTCTCTCTCTCTCACACACGCATACTCTCTCTCTCTCTCTCTCTCTCTCTCACACACACACACACACACGCACGCACTTTATTTTGTAAATCTCTTCAGCCTCGGAACGTCACGATGTCTTGTGATCGTGAGAATTTAGACGCTGACGTAAACTTGCCACATGAAAAACTGAGAAAGCGGGTTGGAATTCAACTGCAAAATCATCCTTTGAGCAATAACACACTCACTCAACGCACGCACGCACATACATACACACACAATCTCTCACTTTCTCACATACAAAGACAACAAACACACACAAACACACATACTTACACATACACACTACAGCTGCATCCCAAACATACACATTGATTTACACATTAAGTCATCGTTCACGTCCTATTTCACCAGTGAGAATAACCTCAAATGGAAACCGCAGATAACTCTCTCCATATCGACACATGCGAAGCGGAGAGAGTTTTTGACGCGGGAGTCACGGTGACAATAACTGAGCCAGATTCAGGAACAGTTGTAGTTATTAAGAGTAAATCAACCGATAAAAAAAAAAAAAAAAAAATATATATATATATATATATATATATATATATATATATATATATATATATATATATATATGTATAGATAGATATAGAAACGTATTTAACATAACACTAGACTTTGTTATAGACCTTATAACACAAGAATCTGAGAAAATGAAGAAGGATATTTAACGTAACTATGAATTATGTTGTTGCATGCATTTTTTAAAAATATCTTTCAAACGATGCACCCGGATGTATCGTTTATTAGCGTTTGATCCAGGTGTTCATCTCGGCACAGGTGTCTAGACTTCGTCAAACACGTGGAATTCTGCATGACACATCTGTATTTCTCTTGCTCTTTCTTTGTCTTATCTGTCTCTCTCTCTCTTTCGGTCTGTCTCTCCCTCTCTTTCTCTCTCTAAGTTTCTTTTCCTCTTACTCTCTTTTTTTCTCTGTCTCTCTCTTTCGCTCCCTCTTTCTTTCTCTCTCTCTCTCTTTCGTTCCCTTTCCCTTTCTCTCCCTCTTTCTTTCGCTTCCTCTTTTTTTTCTCTCCCTCTCTCTTCCTCTCCCTTCCCCTCTCTCTATTTTGTTAACTTGTACAAACTTTCACTCTCTCAGGCAAACACACAAGAAGTCAGTCAGTCTCATGAACAGCATGTTTTCGTTCAGCAGCTGTTACAGTTGCTGTTGGTTTAATGTCTCTCTGTTCCTCTCTCTCACTCTCTTCTTTCCTAGTGAATTTCTCAATCCTCTCATTGTTCTAACCTTTTATCACTTTTCTCTTTCTCTCTATCCCTTTTTGTCTTTCGCCTTCCCCCCCCCTCTCTCTTCTTCAATCCCCTCTCTCTTTCCCTCTCCTTCTCCCCCCGTCTCTCTCTATTCCTTCTCCCCCTCCCTTCTCCTCTCCTCCCTCTCCCCTATCTTTCTTTCTCCCTATTCCTCTCCCTCCCTCCTCCCTCCCACCCACTCCCTCCCCTCTCATCCTCTCTCTGTTGCGTGAGGGAATATGCATGATATTCATAATAAACAACATTATATGTACCGCGGCGAAGGACAAACTTCACACAATAGCTGTAGTGAAGTTTTGCAGCGGGATATGATGGGAGGGAAAAAATAATTAAATTCCGTTGGGGTCTGATGGAGAAGAAAAAAAAATGCATAATCCAAAATGAAAAATATTAAATGCCTTTGGGGTCTGATGGAAAAAAAATGCATAGGCCAAAATGAAAAATATAAATGCATAGGCCAAAATGAAAAATATAAATGCCTTTGAGGTCTGATGAAAAAAAAAAAAAAAAAAAAAAAATGCATAGGCCAAAATGAAAAATATAAATGCCTTTGGGGTCTGATGAAAAGAAAAAAAAATGCATAGGCCAAAATGAAAAATATAAATCCCTTTGGGGTCTGATGAAAAAAAAAAATGCATAGGCCAAAATGAAAAATATAAATGCCTTTGGGGTCTGATGAAAAGAAAAAAAAAATGCATAGGCCAAAATGAAAAATATAATTGCCTTTGGGGTTTGATGAAAAAAAAAAAAATATATATATATAAATGCCTTTGAGGTCTGATGAAAAAAAAAAAAAATGCATAAGCCAAAATGAAAAATATTAAATGCCTTTGGGGTCTGATGGGAAAAAAAAATGCATAGGCCAAAATGAAAAATATAAATGCATTTGGGGTCTGATGAAAAAAAAAAAAAAAAAAAAATGCATAGGCCAAAATGAAAAATATAAATGCCTTTGGGGTCTGATGAAAAAAAAAAAAAAATGCATAGGCCAAAATGAAAAATATAAATGCCTTTGGGGTCTGATGAAAAAAAAGCATAGGCCAAAATGAAAAATATAAATTCCTTTGGGGTCTGATGGAAAAAAAAATGCATAGGCCAAAATGAAAAAAAAACTTCCTTTGGGGTCTGATGAAAAATAATCCTTTGGTAAAAAAAAAAAAAAAAAAAAAAAAAAAACATAGGCCAAAATGAAAAAAAATGCATAGGCCAAGGACACCGCAGCATTCAAAGGCTATGAAGTGCATAAATAATATGTTCTGTGAAGAGTAGTCGAGACAAAAGGTTGGGGTAAATGTTAGCAATTCTCTTTCGCCAACGAAGAAGGAAGAAAAAAAGAAAAAAAAAGAGAGAAGGAAGAGAAGAGAGAAGAAAAGAGAAAAGAAAGAAGAAAAAGAAAATAAATGTTAGCAATTCTCTTTCGCCAATGAAGGAAGAAAAAAAGAAAAAAAGAAAGAAGGAAGAGAAGAGAGAAGGAGAAAATAAAAGAGAGAGAGAGAGAGAGAGAGTGAAAAAAGTCAAGGTCTCTAATCTCCCCCCCACACCCCCTCCCTTCCAAACTTCCCTACGCCCGCACCCTAACCCTCCCCTAACCTTCACAATCCCCCCATCCCCCACCCCTACCCCCCAAAAAATGCACCAGACATCAATCCTCACTGATAATCAGGAAGGAACACTAACACACACAATCAAACACACAATTAAACACACACACACACACACACACACTCAAACACACAATTAAACACACACACAATTAAACACACACACACACACACACACACACACACACACACACATACACACTCAAACACACAATTAAACACACACACACACACACACACACACACACACACACACACACACTCAAACACACACTCAAACACACACACACAATCAAACACACAATTAAACACACACACACACACACACGCACACGTTCCCGACCACAACACAGACACCGACGCCAGCCAATTCACGCGCCAGTTCCGGGGTTGTTGCCGTGATAACAATGGGAACGCTACTGTGGGTGGGGGAGAGAGAGGGGGGAGGTAATGGGAGAGAGGGGGGGGGAGAGAGGTAATGGGGGAGGGGTGTAATGGGTGAGAGAGAGGGTTAACGAGGGAGAGGGGGAAGGAGTGTTAAAGGGGAGAGGGAGAGGGGGTAAAGAGAGAGAGAGAGAGAGAGAGGGTTAATGGGTGAAAGGGAGGGGGTGTTAATGATGAAAGGGAGAGGGTAACGGGGGAGGTGGATAGGAGGGGTGGGTAGGGGTGTACATTAGCGGGGAGGGGGGGGGGAGGGGATGTATTAAATAGGGGGTTGAAAGGGGTCAGGTAATGGAGTTGTGGCTGTCAGGGGGAGGGAGTGGTATAAGGGAGGGAAGTATGACGTAATGGGGGTTGCTGATGCGTACCAGGGAGAGGGAGTATAGGGGGGGAAGGAGGGGGGAAGGGTGGTTGATGCATATTGGGGGGGGGGGGGATAAACGAATGCATTTCAGGCAAAAGGACCAAGGGAGGAAGTGAGGGTAAGTAACGGGGTTATTTGTGCATATGGGGGGAGGGGTCGGGGGAGGGAAAAGGGAGAGGGAGAGAGGGGGGGGGGGTTGAGCATCTCGAAAGAGGGATATATGGGGGGGGGGGGAGGAGGAGGAATGGTTTGTCATAGGTGTATATCAGGGAGTAAGAGGTAGAAAGATGAGTGGTGGTGGATATCAATAAGAAAAAAGGAAAAATATAACGAATGGAGAGAATGAAATACAATATTTCGCGGTTTGACAAAAAAAGGCAAAAAAAAAAAAAAAAAAAAAAAAAAAAAAAAAACGACATAGATACAAGAAAAAAAATTGTAATAAATATAGTTAAATTCTAACGAGAAAAATGAGGCGACAAAGCCAAGCGAAATGAAACTTAATATGAAGTTATGATACACCTCATCTACCCAAGTTAATATCTTCACCTTAACTCATTCTAAAGCAGGCGAAAAGTTGAGCTAAGTTATACGGAGATATACGGTTTAGAAGACACACGCTTTAGAAAACAACGCAGATTATATACAACTAAATCTGATGAAGAACTAAGCATAAAAAATAGACGTAATATAATACACTATATTACTAATCTCACATATATACATTTCCCCAATTCCAGTTCACTAAGCACAAAAAAACAGACGTAATATAATCCCCTAATCTCACATATACACATTTCCCCATTTCCACTTCACTAGGATATGCGTGCGTGCGTGTCTGACTATAAACAATGCATTTGGAGAAAGTTGCTGTATTTTTCGCCCTTATGTCTGTGTCTAAATATGCTAGCCTCAACCTTTATAACCAACTACGCACCTATACACATTCCCCCCTTCACTGTCCAATAAAATGAAGTACAGTCCATCAAAATCGACTGATAAACACATTGATTAACGATATCCTTGTCCCTTCGCATGGTCAAATATGCATGAACGTTCCGGCAGGCGCGTTAGACTAGAGCATGCAAGGTTTTGTGTGTGCTTGTTTTTTTTCGGTGCGATAGAAGAGGACAGGAGGAAATTAGATGGTGTTTTGAGTTCGTATTATTAGTA